GATATAAGGAAGAAGTTCTTTACTGTGAGGGTGGTGAGGCACTGAAAACTGAGGCCCAAAGAAGTGGTGAATGCTCCGTCCCTGGCAGTGTTCAAGGCCAGGTTGGACAGAGCCTTGGGCAACATGGTCTAGTGTGAGGTGTCCCTGCCCATGGCAGTGGGTTGGAACTGGATGATTTTAAGGTCCTTTCCAACCCAAACCATTCTATGATTCTATGATTTCTTGCTCCTTGAAATCAGTTGCACATTCCCTGGATTTTCCAAAAATCATTTGATGTAGATAAGATGGGAGAGGTTACTTTCCAGCAACTATTCTCAGCTTTGGTCCAGCTGCTCCCCTAGGAGTGACCAGCAGTTTGACCTGATGTCCAAGTGCTTGGAGCTTTTAAAAATCCTACCTCAGATACATAGGTGTAAATACCCCCAACCCAGCAGGTAAGCACATCAAGTGACCTAGCCTCTAGATTTTAACCCCAACTTTTGTGCTATCAGCACAACTCACTCAATTTAGTTGTTTTACTCCAGATCTGCACTAGTACAGAACTCAGACTGGCGGATGCAAAACCACGGGAAAATGTAAAAGAGTAGAGAACTATCCCAATAAGGGAGTAAGAAGTAAACATTATTGCTTCAAAAGAACCCAATGAACTTACACAAAACCCAGCAATGTATCTTTGATATTGCATTTTATTTTTTTTTCCATATATATTTTATATTTTACTTGTTCTAGGACAAGGGCACCCATCTTCTTGGAAACACTGGTTGTAAAAAGCCATTCCCCCCCAACAGACAGCACTCATGTTCACTAGCAAGCTCATAATGTGGTCCTCATTTTTCTGTCTATTCCTACTTCTAGACATTTTGTGTAGCCAGCTAGAAACACCTGTTCCCTGAACTAGCATGAAGCTGAGCCTCTGATCAGGAGGGTCTCAAGTGAGCCTGTTAGCCTGGTGGGTCTGACACACCGTCCCTGCTCTGGGCCAGCAGCAGAAGACCTGATGCCCTCCCTGCAACCTGTCTCCTGGGGCTGGGTGTTCCCCATGACCCTGACAGTGTATAACCAGCTCTCCTCTTCCAACCATCAAGAACTTCCAAAGGTGCTGGCAAGGAGGCTTTGGGAAAACACACTTTGGGAAATGCTCAGCCCATGCCTCAGTTTCCCCATCCGCCCCTTCTCCAGCCTCATCTATTTAAAGTATAGTGGAGACAGCCTCGTGGTGGCTGGCAAAATGAATTCTGATCTCAATGAATACTAGAGTGGTTGAAGTATAATAAAGCTGCAGCACAAAACTGTTGGTGTTAGGGAGCATTCACATAAATCAGTCTTTACTCCCTTGCCTTGCCGCAGGCAGCTTTTCCTCTCTGCACAACCATTCCCATCGCGGTAGTGATGGGGCTGCAGCAGCGAGCAAGCTCTCACTTGGGATGGTTTGTATTCCAAAACCAAGTTGCCATATATCTTAAGCCTCAGTCCGGATCTCAGCCTTGTTTACTTTTGCTCCTGCAACAGCCAAGCTTCATTCAGCATTCCTGCAGGTTGGTGGGGAGTGAGATGCAGCTGTGGGCTCTGCCTGTCTGCAAGCATCCCTTGGGACCACTGTTTCCTCTCAGAATTAGGCTGAATATTAAGAACAGTTCCCTGCTAGAATTCATGAGAGGCTTCCAAGATTGGATCCTCTTGCACATGCCTGTACCGTTCATTTGATTTTAAGCTACACTGCAAGTCAGCGGCTGGGTTTTTCATACGCTCTGGTTCAGCATAAAGGGGTTAGTTTAAGTCTCTATGCAATTGATCTTTGTACTTGGACAACACCCTTGCAAGGCAACGCACGCTGTCAGCCTTAGGGTTGCTGCAATTTATACTTTGCTAATATGCCTTCTGTGCTAAGCATGTGGTATCCAGACCCACAGGGGTGGGCTTTTCCAAACCGGCTGACCCACACCGGGAAGGTAAAGTTAAAGATCAGACACCCGACCACCTACCTCTCAGCCAGCGAGCTCAGCCTTGCTGCCCTGGTTTGCTATGAAGTTCCCAGGAAGATTTCTTCCTGGAACTACTGCTCTTAAAGGTCCAGGCTGCCTTTACTGCCTGGCAAGGACAGCCTTATCCTCTAGCAGGGCAGGAAAAGAGCGGGGAGAGTTTCTTCTTTTGTAATAGTTTATATTCTGATGGTTTAACTGATTTATTTGTATTGGCATGTGCACAGAAAGCCCTGTCATGCAATTCATTGTGTGAGGTGATGAGCCTGAAAATGATCCAGTCTCCAAGCTGCTTACAATACTGAGTAAATTTTAACCTTCCACGTTACTGATTAAGGATTGAAGTCTTTCAGGAGTGCAAAGGAGAAATACAGTATGGGCCTCTGAGCAACTTCTGTAAGTGATTATAACCCCACAGGTCAACCAGGTGCTTCAGTCTGGGGCACCTCAATGGTTGCCCCTATGCTGAAGCAGCAAAACAATAGCTCAAATTTTGATGCAGATTTTACACTGTTGACACTCATGTGGCCTGGAGCCCTATAGGAAGTGACTTAGATAGGAAGATAATAATCCAAGCCAAGATGTCACTGATTTACTGGTGGGAGGTGGCAACCGTTGAATTAATCACACTGGATTGAACTATTCTTCATGGTTGATACCAGACTCCCAAAGCAACAAGGACAGATTTGCCATCTCATTTAGCTAAGTCCCCTTGGGTTAAAGAGAAGCCCCATCCTTTGGCAGCAAGGATGCTGCTCCTGAAGAGCCCTGTGCTGCCTGAGCCTCCTATGCCTTTAAGGGTTGGCCTCCAAAGTCAGTGATAAGGAAAAAGCAAACCACTGCACTCTGAGATGAAGAGCCTCTTTTTTTAATGTCCAACAGAGAGCTTCATTCAATTACGCAGCAATAAAATCTGTTTCTGTGGGTGTGCTGAGCAGGAAGGCCAGAGGCATTGAGCCGTGCCACGAAGTGGGCAGCAGACAGAGCACCAGAGCAGGCACAGAGGCTCCAAATAAGCCAGCTGAAAGGAAAGTGGGGTTTCCCATTATTGTTTGCCCTTCACATATTGAATATCTGGGGCAATGGACATAACACCGTACTCTGATCTTAAAGGTCTTTTCCAACCTAAACAATTCTATGATTCTATACCCCTCCCCTGAGCCCATGAAACAGCCCAAATCATGAGAAACACCCAGGCACAGTGCGAACAGTGAGTGCAGCCCTTTCTAGGTGTTTTCCTTGTCTGTTCCCACAAACAATGGAGATTCTTGGCTCTGCATGGACCTTTTCCTGCCCAACACATCCGTGAGACCCTTCTGGGCTTTTACTTCCGTCCTGATGCTCTTCCCCAGACTGATGCAACGATAAACCCACCGAGTTTAACTCCTTTAGCTCTTTCACTAATGTGGGGACCAAAGAAGGATAAAGATTACAAACAAGCCAGTCCCTGGGATGGTTTCCTCTGACTATCTGTTGTAAGCTGCTGGTCCACACTATAAGAAGCCCCTTTTTCTTCTGCAGTCTACTACAGGGTCAGTAGTTAACATTTCATTTCCCTGTAGGATGGGAGATTCTCATGTACTGTAAGGGACTATTGCACACATGCAGCCAAGCACATATGGATGTGTTTGACTCTGGGAAAACTGGGATTTTGGAACTCACCATGTGTCTATGAAATAGATTTTGGACATGCAGAATAGCAACAGCTTTTATTAACTATAAATTGCTGGTGATAGAAAGCTGCACATATTGCATAACAAATAAAAAGAATCAGTGATTTACTGTATTTTTAAAAGTCCCAGCTGCAAATTATTAGCACGTACAAATAATCAGGACAACTGTGGTGATTAATGACATTTTTTACTTTGGAGGATACATGTTGTATTTTGGGGAAAAAAACAGCTGAATAGTTCTACTTCATAATCCTTCATTTATTTATTTAATTGTAATTCACTTATATAATTTACTTAATCAAAAGTGCATAGTTGTAATGCTTCCACAATTCGTACTAAAAGGAACTTCAAGCATCTTCTCAAAGGTCAAAGTGATCACATTTGAGCAATTTCTTATACTAAAAATCTTAGCTGTTGGATATCTGATTAAGATTCATCATTTCCCCTTATATCAATATAATTAGTATCACTGCAAACACATCCTCAGTAGAACAGATGAATTATTTCAGGAAAATATTCAGGAAAAATAATTCAGAAAAAAGAGTTGAGCCATGATAATTAATGTGCAATAACACTTGGAGTGGAGTCTTATGAGAGGAGCATCTATTCCCAGCAGGCTGCTGTTGGATGATAGCAAACAAAATGCATGGGAGATGCCTTCAGTTCAAAGAAATACTGCTTTTTGGTTATGCCACTGAGGGGACAGGAGTCATGTTAAAGTCTGAAACCAGACAATTGCCTGCTCATGTTTCTCATCAGTTTTAGGACATAAAAAGCCCGTCCGTAAGTATTCGCATAGTGCGGCACAGTCATGGGACTGTCCAGCTGGTGTGTGAGAGGGTGTTGCGAATGCAAGAGTAAAAAGGACATGCTTATGGTTTAATTGTAGCAAACTTGGCACTGGATGTCTTTGTTTTCCTGGCTATTAAATTCCAAAAATAATATGGTATTCGTTTAAAGAGGTGGGTATAATTTTCCCCAGGTGGCAGCACAAAGTAATAAAAAAAGAGACATACAGCTCCATTGCTCTGCCCTGCTACTCTGCGTGTATTTAGAAAAGCTTTTAAGAGATGAAAGGAATAGGGAATGAGCAGAGTCTGCTTCCAGATAAGCACAAACAGAAGGGGAATGATTTGATTGAGCTAGGAAGAAATTATTTGTACCCAAACCAAAAAAGAGAGGAAGAAGCAGTTGTAAAAATCAATTTCTTTTCCAGATTCATGCTAACATGTTCTGCCTTACACTGGTGTAGATGGAAAGAGAAAGCTTAACCTTTAAATGCTTCTCAGAAACAGGGGGAAGGATTGCATGTAATGCCACTGGATTGAATTATAATTCAGGCAGTAAGTTAAAACAGAGACAACCTGCTTGTGTTGATGGGTACAAATTTCTTGCCTAGTGTGATATTGAATTTCTCTTTCAGTGTTTTCTCCATTTCTTCATCTGTGAGGATTCTGATTTCCACCAGATCCATATTATCCCTATAACTGTACTTTATCTCAGTGAATTTCCACCCCACCAGAGCCCTGATGCCATCGGCGGTCTGTAGGCTGCAGATAGACTTTGTCACGAACAGCGAGTCGGGCGCTGTCTGCAGGTGGGCATTGCAGGCTCGGAACTCTTCGATGTCTCGTGGCTGAAGGGTGAAGAGATAAACCCGACGGCAAACTTCTTCTTCTGTGTTATAGGAAGCAGAGACGCTTTGGTTGGGAACCCACTGCTTCCTCTTCACCTTCTCAAGGTACCAGACCCCGCTCTTCTCCAGGAAGCGAAAGACACCAGGAGCCTGCGGCTGGTCTGTCCCCGAAATCAGTTCCATTGGCTGCCACATCTGGTAAGCCATCCCAAACCCACCATCCACAATGAAAGATCTGTCATCAAGCACCACTTTTAGCAGCAGATGATCGATTTCATCTGCATATGCGTCATATTCTGGGACATAAACTTTTGATCCCAGAAGGGTGACATCATAGCCGAGGGTTTTAAGGACCCAAGATAAAAGGTGGTTGTTTTCCATGCACCAGCCCCCACGGTTTTTCCTCACTATTTTGTTGTAAGTCGCTTCCAGGTTCAGCTCAATGCTTTCCCCGCAGTGGATGCTGAGGTTTTCAAAAGGGACTGTTCGGATGTGGTGCTGGAATATATCAGTCAAAGTAGCCAGGTCTGGCTTATCATAGGAGCCCTGGTAAGAAATCCTGGTGAAATATTCCTTGATGTCCATGCTGCCACTGAGAGAAGGGTGGAAAAAAATAATAGGTAGTGTCAGAAGTGACGGAAGGATCTTCCCCATCCCTTATAAAGAGACACTCATCCTTAAGGGCGTCCTGCTCAGAAGAGGAGCGGGATTTGACTAATGGCCCCATCAAAGGCAGCTGAGTGAGTATTAGCACTGAGGGAAGCCAATGGGACACTGCTGATGAGTGCAAATGTTATTTTTAATTGTTTCTTTTACAGCTGTGACGAAAGGCTCCAGCTGTGCTAAGCACATTTCAGTACAGTTCCTGGCCAGCAAAGCTACAAATCTCTGTAGGAAGGAACAAAAACAGTAGCAGCACTGTTTCCCCACTAGAAATTACAGGAACTGAGGCTCTCCAGATCTGAACTGCCTCACTCTCAGTTTGACTCAGCAAAGCAGAAGCAGAAAACAAACCCTCCCACTCTTGTGGAGCAATCCAGAGCCTCCTCTGCAGCCAGATCTCAACTTAATCTGCCCTGAAGTGGTATTTTCTTCATTATTTAGGCAGCCTGGCACGAGCTGGTCTCGCCTGCTCCTGCTCCCCGTGCTGGTGGTAGCAGATGTGACCTGGAGCACAGAGCGGGGGGGTTTTTTAGGGCAGAAACATAGCACAGAGGGAGGTTTTTTTCTTCATCTGCTGTGATCTGCCTCCCCGCAGCACAGCTTAGCTCCCCAGCTCTGCTAATCACAGCCTTATGCCAGCAGCAGGAGGAAAACAAGGTTTGGGCAAAAACTACAAGTTTCAGGGGGCCTCACATTTTCTGACATCATTTTTGGGGCATGCATTTGCTCTTTCAACCTGCAGTCTCCCCAGGAGGAGTGGCTGCCCATGGGTAAGGGACCAGGCATTGCCCTCCCAAGCACAGCAGAAGGGTTCAGCGGGAGACTGTGTGCCACGAGCACAAGGGGTGCAAAACAGCTTGAGCCCTCCCAGCCCTTGATGGTAAGGAAACAGGAAAGGGATATTGATGTAGCCAAGTGCTATTGGTATTCCTCCCCAGGCACTGCTAAACTTCAGACGCCTCTGAATATGGAGCGATATTGTTCAGATTAGGGACCCGAGAGGTCCCAAAACGTTCTCAAGTTCCTGTATATGATTCTTAAGGTAAAATCATAGGAAAAAGCCCAACTGTTCCAACAGGATTAAATTCTTAATCTGATGAAAAATCACACACCCCAAATTGTATGGGAATTTTGGAAAAATTCTTTCGATACACAAACAAAGCAGTGAAAATGAACAATTTCCATTTGGTGTAATATCCTGGCAGAAGCAGAGGGTGCCGTGGGTTGGCTATGGGACCCACATGTCCTTTGTTGTCCAGAGAAGCTGTGGCTGCCCCATCCCTGGCAGTGTTCAAGACCAGGTTGGACACAGGGGCTTGGAGCAACCTGCTCTAGCGGAAGGTGTCCCTGCCTGTGGCAAAGGGTTGGAACTGGATGAGCTTTGAGGTTGCTTCCAAACCATTCCAGGATCCTGTGACTCAAACCCTTTGAATAGAAGCGTTACAGAAATCTATAACTATTGCATTATGGCCTCCTCCATGTCTCTGACATCCAGCAAGCAGGCCTAAATGATCCACTCTCAGATGATTATTCAGGGTACTGTATTTGTTCAGCTTTTGGCTCATTCCCAAGCTTTCCCCTAAAGCCCTAGAACTACAACTCCATTCATTTTTGAAAACTTGGCAGAAACTTAGTTCTTGCCATGTGAACCTTAAACCAGCATCCCCAGAAATGACCTGATTTTCCCTTTCTTTCTTCCATCCTTTCACTTTGCCATATCAGGCAAAACATATATAGCAACTTTTCCTTAAAGGGAAAATGTCAGTGTGGGGGTTTTATCTGTCTGTCCATCTCTTGTGGGTGTTTATAAGGCCCTTTCAACTGTGGTATCTGAAATAAGTCAGAAGGCACAAATGCCCGATCTGCTTGAAGCTGATAACTGGGTAAATAAACCAGTGTATCTATTACACCGAGCAGCAGAGCATTCCCTGCGCTGCTGTTATATCATTTTCTGCTGTGCTTTGTCTTCAAACAGATTTAACTTCCTGGTTAGGGAGCGCTCAGCTACCAAGATTCAGGGTTTAAAAGAGCAGGCTTACCTGGAAAATCAGTTCAACCACCAGTGTACCTCCAGGGCTTGGGGGATATGGATTTAGGCTAAAGTGGTGTGGCTGGCTGTCCTTCACCAAGTGCAGACAGGGCTTGACGACTGTTCTCCAACTCCTCTTCAGGGGAATGTCTTTTCCTTCAACTCACTCTCACCCGCCTCTGTCAGATTGCAAAAGCTGGGGGAAAAAAAAGAAGAAAAACAGAAGGGTGGAGCATGAGAGCTGTAGAGAGCGAGCAAAACCAACAGCACTGGCTCCACACATGCAAAATGTGGTTGTTATTAGAGCAGAGGCTGCTTCACATTGTCACTCGTTCCATGCTTTCTGCAGGGGCTAGCTTGGGCTGTGAGGAAAACGGCATCTCTTTGTTTCAGTAGCTAGCTGAATGAACTCAGGTAATACATATATATATATATTTCTCCCCAGGTATTAGGTTACTGTTTGGTTTTAAATGTGGGGAAGAAATCTTGCACACATTCATTTGGAGGAGGTTTTTGCACTGTTTCTAAAAAGCAGCAAGATTTCAGTGCAGCAATTTGAATGTGCAGCCCCCTTGCCCCAACTAGCACATCAAGAACTTCAGTGCTGCCTTTGCTTAATTTGCTCTTTATGATTTACATGTGTCCTTTTATTATAGTGGATTTTACATATAATTCACTATACGTGACTTACATGTGAAAGAAAGCACCGGGACAGCAGTGTGTCTTCTTTGCTCTTTGCCCACAGGAAACTCACGAGCATACTGTCGTGGTGAAAATGCTATTGGCAAAGTGATGACTATGGAGTGCTAACACATAGGAGGCTCCATCCTCTTGGTGTGCTTCATACAGCTTTTTTATCTACCAGTTTTGCTTGTATTTTGCCAAGCTAAGTCTTATTAATTCTCTCATACATACAGCTAGTTTCTTTCCTGTTAATCCTCTAATGGTAGTGCCGGTCTTCACAGTGACAATGGCAAGTTTCATTCAAACACTGATTTACTGGAATAAGTAGCAGAGACAAAAAATCAGATCGAACTGAGATGTCTGTGGTAACCCATTACACAGCTCCACTCCCATATCAATGTCTGGCTTTTTATCATCCCATCAGAGGCCGGTGTTTGACCCCACAAGCATGAACCAATGCCCAAGCCGAAAGGCACTAAAGGGAACGGATTACCTGCCCTCATTGGGCTCTGGGCAAATACAGTTTGGTACAAAGTTCATATTCCCGAGTGGATATTGCTGTGTATGGAATAATCCCTTCTCTTCCCACAGGATAAGAGCCCTTCATTTCAAGAAAGAGCAGCAAAAAGCTGGCAGTCCTGGTGGGAACCAGGACTGAAAAGAATCCGTACTGAAAAGAAGCCCATGGACACATTGCTGTGTGATGTGAGAGCAGACCCAGCTGTGTTCCTTGCCCAGAGTCATTTGAGGCCACAAATGGTGCCAGAAGTGGACACTTGCTGTTCCTCCTTGGACAAACATGTGAAGTGGTTGGGGATCTGTTCCAGCTGATTTTGGGGTCCCATTAAACCAGAAGTGTTTTCTAACAAAGTAGGAGCAAAACACTTCTCCTGACACTTTGATACTCAGTTTTTCTCAACTCCTTTCTAAAACATAGCTCCAATATTGAGCATTGTCTTCCCCTGTCTTTCAAATTCTTATCCCAACTCACCATCCTATGATGTCATTCCTTCCTCACTCTCCTTTTTCTTCCCATGCTGCACATTTTGCTCCTTAAACCATTAAATCCACAAGCTCTCATCCTGCCCAGTTGTGCTGAAGGCCATCAGGGGGAGAAATTCATTCAGTGAGCACTAAAGGTAAGAAAAGGCTGATCTTGGCCCGGGAGCCTTGCTGGAGTCTGATTGCATTTCAGCTCTGTGCCAGGTCACTGGGACTATCTCAGACTTGATGAGGAAACAAACTGCACTCATGACTGCTGAGTGAGGTGGTCATGACATCCTGTAACTGTCCCCAAAAGCAGCAAAGGGCAAAGTCCAGCCTGGGCCGGCTGGGTTTTGAGGAGTGTGACTGCAGGGTGAAGGTACATATGGGAATGTCCTTGGAAAGGCTATGGCTGTCCACCCGGACACTGTACTGCAGTTTCCCAACCTTGGCAGGAGCTGAAGCTCACTGAGCATTTTCCAGAAGACCCTCAATGTAATGGCACTTACTTTTATTTATTCATGAATTTAAACTGCAGACAGCATTTAATTTATTACTGAAATCCTTCTCTCATCCTAACTCTCCTGAAAGGCTGTGTCAAATATCCCTCCCTGTTTTAATAGAGTATTATATGCTGCAATATCTGCCCAGGGAAATAAAAGCACAGGGTCCCCTCTAAAATGACCTCTGCAATGGGCTGTAAAACAAACGAAGGATATAATTACATTATGTTACATTATGTTATATGTTATTATATTATATATTATACCATTATTGTATTATTATATTATCATATTATAGCATAGTATAGATCCTATCATATCATGTATCATATTATATTATATTATATCGTATTATATAATATCATATCATATCATATCATTATCATATTGTACTATACTATGTTATACTATATTATTAATTATATTGACTGGATGCTCAACATACAAACTACATGGTATTCTACGTAACTAGAGAGAAGAAAGACTTCTAAACTAATAAAAGAATTGAGGTTTTTTAAGTAGAATTAGTGTAAAACCTTAAATTCTTACACAAGGTAAGACTCCCCTATCCTGCTGAGCAATGAGCTGCTGGAAAAGGAAACACTGCACACCCTGAACCAAGTGACTAGCTTTAGCCTTTCATTTCCAAAAGGAATTTAATAGGTGTAGGTTGGGCTAATACAAGACTGGTAAAAGATATTCATGATCTATAAACATATTCA